CCTATTTTTCCTTCTCTTCTTCTCTTTTTTCTTTTTTCTTTTTACTCTCTCTATTCTCTCCTATCTTCTTTCTCTTTATTTCTCTTAGTTTTTCCTTTTCTTTTCCTTTTCTATGTTTTCCTTCTTTTCTTCCTCTGTTTTTCTTTTCTTCTCTCTCTGTGTTTTTTCATTCTCTTCTCTACTTCTTTTTTTTTCTTTTAGTCTTTCACCTTTCTTATACTTTCCTCTTTTTTATGTCCTAGTCTCTCCTGTATTTATAGGCAAAAACAAGGGAGACATATGGACAGGACGGCTTATATGCTGCTGCCCCTCCACTACCCGAGGGACACATCTCCTCCCTTTTCTTTAACATATGGAAAGCTTTGGGCAAGTAGGGGTCCTTGATCGGTGTCCCTTTTACCTTTTCAGAGGAAAAAAAGTTGATGAAAACACAAGGGAATGACAGCTCCCTTCCCCTGTTTTCTGTATGTCCAAGGGAGGAAGAAGACATACGGTGTCGTTCAAAACATCACCATTTTGGAACCTTTTTCGTGAAAAGTATATGAAACAACGCTATTTTCAACAAAACACACCATTTCATTTAAAAGAAAACAACGGCAAAAACATGTCAAAGTCCAAATCAATCTTCAATTTGTAATTTCTTCACTCAAGTCCTGAATTGCAATTTTGATTTAAAAATCAATGCAATAGCATGCCTACTAAAAATTAAATAGTGCTCCTAAAGTTGATCGTTGTTTTCACTTTGGTCCTTAGTTTTTGATTTATGCAATTCAACCCTCAATTGATCAACAACCTCTGATTTTCTTCTATTTAGTCCTTAATTCAATCAATTTTAGTGCCTGTATTTACATGTCTTTTCTAGTTTGGTCCCTGGTTTTGGATTTTTTCAATTAAGTTCATTTAATATTTATGCAATTAAGCACCTGATTTGATCAAATTAACTCTTAAAAATTATAATTTGACCCCAGAACTTTAATTTCTTCCAATTAAAGCCCAAATTGACTTTAAAATTATTTTTTCTTGCAATTAAACCCTCCATAAATTCAATTAAACCTTCAAATAAAATTTAAATGAGTCTATAAATATATGATCTTGAATTTTTCTTTCTTAAATTGAATTTTTTTTTTATCAACATGACTCTCATCAATCAACAAAATACTATCAAATTTTAATCTTTATATTTTTGAACCTCCTCGACAAATTTTTGGTCATTGTCTGGTCGTTCTGGCATCTTCCTTTCACTACTATTATTTTTTATTTTTCTTCTGAATATATTTTTTGATATTTTTTACATTTTCTTCTTTTTTTTCTTGGTAGGGACCCAAAAATGGGTTACAATAAAGGTTATAAAATGAGGTAAAAAAGATTAAAAAAATTAGTTATGACAAACTTGTAACCATGCTATTTAGGGCTAAGCTAACCTGAAATATCCTACCAAACCCGCAGTCCAGATAATGTGATTGAAATAACCTGATTAAAAAAATAAAAATAATTAGAAAGCTCTTTCCTGTCAAACCCTTGGCCCATATTATGTGATTGGAATAACCCGATTAAAAAAATAAAGAGAATTATAAAGCTTTTTTTTCTATAAAAAAATCCATGTTAACTTTTCAAATCTAAGATCCGAGTCATTAGACATGAAGCATCCAATTTAGAAAAGCTATGAAGTCTAATTCTCAATCAATCATATATTGAAGGATGAAATTAAAAAAAAATTAAAAAATAATTTTAAAAAATTAGCAATTAAAAAATAAAGATCAAAATTAAAATACAAAATAAATTTTATATTTAATTGAAGGGTGAAATTGAAAAAAAAATCAATTTAATAAAAGGACCATTTTTTTTAAATGAGGTTCAAAATTAACATATTAAAAATAATAACTCTTACAAAAGGACTAAGAAAAAAAATTAGAAATCAAAACAATGAAGACCAAAGTGGATCAAAATACAATATTTGGTAAATTAGGATTCAATAATAAAATTAAAAATAAATAAAACTCCTACAAAAAGGTCAAGATCAAAAATAAAAAATCAAAGGAGTAAGGAGTAAAGTTGAATTACTAACAACCAA